AATTCCACATTTTTTGCACTCATTTCCACTTTTGTGTTCTTTCTGCAGATTTACGCTTGTTCTTCATTTTCAGCTACGTTTCAGCATGTTTCTTTCAGCTAATTTCAGCTGTTTTTCTGCAAGTTATTCTGCAATAAGCATTCACATACATTTCTGCAGGAAATGCAATTTTTGGTTAAAAATGCAACAACAATGAAAACCTCCGTTTTTACTCACGTTTCAGGACAAACGATCCGACTCAGAACAAGAAGGACATTTAACACAACCGATGGCTTCAGGGCAGCTGATGTTCCTCGGCCTGGAAGTGCAGAGAGTAACTGCACAGTTCAGACAGTTTGCGCCCACTGTTGTGTAAAACTGTTTCTTTCATCTGGAGCTTTATGAGGGTGAAGTGAAAAGAGGGTCAGCGCAGAAGCTTTCGGGGTTAAAGTCTGTTTTCTTCACATAGAAAATGTGGCTGTTCAGCCTTTTCCAGAGACGCTGCTGCAGAAGCTGGTAGCAAAACGAGGACGGTGCCTTTTTGCACCGTGACTGTGACTCGCAACAAGACATTTGTCTTTTGTGTTAGTCCTGTCAAAAAGGAGGAGGGAGGTTCATGAATCATCCGGGCAAGTGACAAATCCATCCCTTTCAGCGCAGCCGTTCCCAGAAAGGATTCGAGGGGAAATGTAACATTTAACAGAGGGTTCTTTGTCACAGTTTGAGCTCTCAGAAATAAAATAAAACATCTGTGCCGTCACTGTTCACATATAGGATGGAACCCCTGAACCATTTTGGCGCGCTGATTCACTTCCACTCATTAAAAAGAACACAAATGAAATGAGACGGTTTGCGCCGCGGCACCCCGTGGGTAAACTAAAGTGAGTGTACATAATGTAATTTCAGAAATGTTCCACTTGAGGTTTTCTCATTATCTCACATTAATCTCTCAACATGCCCCATGAGGAATCGGCAGATCATTTCCTCTGATCACACGTCTGTGATTTTCTTCTGACATTTCCCCACTAAACCAGTGCCGTAACCTGGAGGAAGAAACTATCAGGGTTTTGTTCACGAGTGAGGGAAGAACAGGGTATGAGATCAACAGATGGATCTGTGAGGCTTCTGCAGTATTGTGGACTCTCTGCCGGTCCATTGTGGTGAAGAGGAAGCTGAGCTGCTACTGGTCGGATCTTTATTATGCTTGAGGGGCAATTTGTTTCACAGTAGGTACACAAAACATCCATACTAGACGAGATGTTAAAATAACCGTACAGAAATCATCATTGTTCATTAAGAACATCACTACAGGGATGAACGAGTTTTTCAGTCTGTTCATTTCCATCTGGACAGCAGATACCTGCGTCCACATGGAAATGAACAACGCAAAGGAACTCCGTTGATGTACATCCAATTATTATTTTCTGGGGGGAAAAATATTAAAATCCATCCTGTGGTCCATAATTTATTTTGCTAACAGACAAACCGTGTTGGCTTCAATAGTTAATTCCAACGTTTAGCCAACAATTTTGAAAAGTTTGTAGCTCGTTTAGTAAATGTGATTTTCAGCTACTACCGCACCAAATATTGGTTCAATATCTGTAAAATATTGCGTTAGAATCACCTTGACTTGAGTTCATACTAAAAGTTAATCAGTGGTTACTTTCTGAAAGTTTCAATAAAATTGGTCCAATTGTTCATAACACACAAGAAGCATTATTATTCACCATCCACTTTGGGCAGCGTGTGATAAAAATAAACTTTTCCTTCAAAAGATCCCCTAACCTTCAGTTAAATGTTAGTTTTGAGTTAATGTCACAAGTTTTAAATCAGTTTTAAAGCTGGAAGTTGTGGCAATGCAAAGATCCACGTGGTGTTGCGCATCGTGACCACTAGAGGGCGGCAGATAAAACAGACATCAGAAACTGAATTTACGTTTTCGTCGTTATTTGATTGTCATAATTTATTAGAGCTTCTCAAACCTGATCATTGTAGTCAGATGAGCTCAATGGGGAAAATGTTCATCTTTAACCAATAGTTTTTAAAGCCTGTGTATTTTGTGGCTGTGTAAATGTTTCTCTTTTATACCAGGACAGAGTTTTAAGGTGCTGAAGCGAAACTAAAGATAAATAACTAGATATTTTAGGAAAATGCCTTAAAGACTACACCAGTAAATTGTATAATAAAGAATTATAATTGCACATATTTAACACTTTATAAAGCAGTGATCGGGGAAGGTTTTGCATCGACAGAACCGAGAGATGCTACAGTTACTGGGGGGGTGCAGCTCATTTTACTGGAGGTCAAGTGAACCCAGTTCAAGTCTGGGCCACCCCTCAGGAAAAAGCAACTTGTTTCTGCTCGTATTAAAATATACGCAATAATTTATTAGCTCTTTGCAAATAAGAGGATTGTGGATTGTCCCTTTTGTTTATGGCGTCCTCGTTTTAAAGTTAATTTGTGTCAGATATTTTGCTAAGCGCTCAATTTCAGCCCAAACCCACCGAGATGACAATCTTAGTCAGGATAAAGAAGACTTTAATCCATTAACAAAACATGCAAATATAAACTCACAGCCATTTCCATTTGAGAATACACAAAGGTTTAAAATTTTACAACAAATAAAACAGTTGGCATAAACAGACACGACGCGAACATGTAAATGTTTAAATGTAATTATTTCCCCAAAACATCTGGATGCAGCTTTAATAAACGCTCCAATAACTGGACACCATTCTCTCTAGTTTTGGTCACACCTCGGAAGGCGACAAACGGAGTACGAGTCATAATGATGGTTCGCCGTGCACGTGGAACGACTAGAAAATGACACCCGAGTCTGAATCCACCCTTTACAGAAGGCTTGTTGTGGTGAGGAATGTCAGCGAACACAAACAATAAACAGAATTATTACATATTGATATCTAACGAATCGATACTATCCCTTCAGTCACCTCTAAGTTAAACGATATGTCAAATCCAGATTTGGAGATCATAGAAAAGGCTGCCATCATGCTCGTCTGGGGTCCCTCTACATTCAGTCTAAGCCAGTGTAAAAATGTGCAATATATATTTGTTTGTTTGTATTTTACTTTAAAAAAACTCTGATGGGGTTCAAAATGCTGATGAAGAGCTACAACGTGCAGTTCCGGAGCGCACAGTGTCTACGGTCCCAACAAAGCGGCTGATGCTGGAAAATATCAGTAAAACGAAACGAGCACGAAGCGTCGTCCCATTTGTTGACTGGTAGAACATAAATATTCACAACGTCACAAATAAAGTAGGACTTCAGCAACGCATCCAAAACAGATGTTAATTTGGGACGAACAGTGAGATGTAAATATCCAGAGAGTCGTTGTGTCGTTTCTCTCCCTCGCTCTGAAACAACTATTCCACCGAATTGTTCAGGGGGTCACAGTTACTGAAAGCCAAGAGCTCAGAGGTCCGACGTCCAGCGGTTATCGTCATTAAGTTTGTTTTACGGTTTAAAGTCTAGTTTTATTTCAAAATGAACCCACTGGTGCCGAACTGAGCTCACCTGTGGGCCTGATTTGGCCCCCGGGGCCTCCAGGTGAATAACCCTGCTCCAAAACCTTCAGTACTTCAGTCCCTCTTGTGGGAGGGGGGTCTTCCAGAAAGCGAGTTTAACGAGTTAGTTGATCCTGAGTTGGGGGGGGGAACTCTGAAACTATCACCATGGTAACAGATTCTGTATAGTAAGCCTGCTCGATGACAGGTTTGTCTGACGAGCTGTCCGGCGTGACTTTAAGCAGAATTACTTCATAAAACCTGACGCTTGAAAAGGATTTCCTGCTCACCGTATTTTCCAACGTATAAGTTGCAGGTTTTTTTGCACAGATTTATCAATTCTGCGACTTATACACTGAAACGACTTGTGTACGATTTATTGTCTCCGCATTCATAACGCAGTTTTTGACTGACTCTTTAAATGTTCATTCATACCGACATGAACCAGAGTAAACGTTACCATTTACAGCCACTAGAGGCACAAGAGGGCTTTTGACAACTATCGGTAAGCGTATATGTTGTTCCTGTATCACTCCCCCCCCCCCCACCCCCACCACCAAACATTGACCATTAAAGTGCATTTATTAAGGAAAAAGTAAAACTGAGACACACCTTTTGTTATAATGTCGAACAAATAATTATTTATATGTCGTTCAATTTAAAAAAACTGCAACAGCGAGTTCTCCCGTGCGCGCTCCTGCCAATTGATTTTTGGCACAACACCGGCCCACGTTTCCCGGGGGTCAGCGGTGACGCATAATAAATGCAACTTTTTCCTCTTCGTGATGCTTTTGTTTTTGACTGATGCGACTTATACGCCGGAGAATACGGTAAATAAAATTTGCTCTCATTCGCAGATTTTTGTTTGAACAGCCGCGATTAATGCGCTGAATAAAACGTCGACACAAAATAAAGAGAAATAATTCAGATTTACTTTTTTAAACCCTCACAGTCCTGAAAATGCAGGAATGAAACTTTCACCTGTAAAAATTCGCTCCTTTAATTATCGACAGCAGAAATTCTGGATACGAATGACGTTAATGTATTTTCTGTTTTTTAAGTTTTAAAGAGATGCTGCCTGTATACCGCTGATGGTAATGGCTGAATAAGCTTTAGAGATGAACTGATATTTGTTAATGTTTGGTGGTTGTTTTTTGAAAAATTATAAGGATAAAAAAAAAAAATCTGTCCAGCAGCAGGTAGGTAAGTATAATGTATTTCTTTAAGCTCACAAATCAGTGTATTTTTTTTAAAGGATAAACTTTGTTTAAATGCTAAGAAATCAAATTATTATTAAAAACAGACTACATGAATTACAGCTCTGGGACTAAAGAGTTTAAATGAGCTGTGATGTCATCGTTTGTGCCCGAGTTCAAACTTGTATTAAGGAACGACCGGACCCTGTTGTTTCCTGCGGTTGTCATGGTGATTCAAGATGTCTGAGCTCCCCTGAGGACGGCTTTTTCTTGTGTCTAACCTCAACAGCAAGATATTAATATAGTTATTTACCCTTATTATTCTTTCTGGAACTGAAAACCTGGAGTTTCCCCGCTCAAGGTAAGTTAAGTTTGTTCAACGTGATTTCTGGAATACCTCCCTGGTATCAAAATGTTGCTTTTTAAGTTAAAGAGTGCTTCTTTTAACAAACCCCACACTCGAACCTTCACCAGGAGAGCTGAGTTCAGCGTTTTAACTCTCTGTTGAACCGCTGCCCTTGTTCTTGTTGCGCGTCAGAGGGAACGTGGACTTGCTCTGAGGTTGGGTCATTTTGCTGGCCAGGTAGACGAAGGGTTCGATGAGCGTGCGGCGGTCCACCACTGACACCTCCCACAGACGCACCTTCTCGTTCTTCGCCCAGTTCTGAGCGAAGTTGGAGTCGACCCTCCTCTCGTTCTGCTTGTCCAGCTTGTTGCCCAACACAACAATGGTCACCTGCGGGTCGGGATTACCAGGTTAGCTCCACATCATCTAATCCACAGCACCAACCTCTGCTGTAGCCGTGACTAACGAGCTGCATCTCGTGTGAACTAGCCCCAAACTAGGAGGTGGGTGTATTCAAATGGATAATTAATAAACCTCGTGAGTACAAAAAGATGAATAATCCACGTCTGTGGATACAATTCAATCTGTAAATCCTAGAATCCTTTGTCATTTTTTACTAAACCCTAACGTAACCTGATTAAAAGACGAGATTACAACAATATCCAGCAACCTGATAATTGTGGTGACAGTTGATTTACATGTACAGTTCATATTTTGCTGCAGAATGGTAAAGATAATGGATCGATGTATTCAATAGTGAAACGCATTTATTTTAAATTATGGTCAATTTCAATAATCCCACAAATTTTTATGTCACGAACTGAGATTTGCATAAAAATTAGTCCATAATGACACCATCTGGCAACCTTGGTAACTGAAATACCATATACCGTATTTTTCGGACTACAAGGCGCACCAGATTAAGCAAAACAAGTTCATTTTGACAGATTTTGAGCGCCGTGTACCACATAAAATTGGTTCGAGGTCAGTAAGCACAACCAGAATTAATACATAAGGTGCACTGGATTATAAAGCTTACTGTGGATTTTTGAGAAAATTAAAGGATTTTAATTGCGCCTTATAGTCCGACAAATATGGTAATCTTCCTAATATACCTCGTCATCAAACTTTTATAGCAGCATGTATTTAGAAATAATTCTGTAACTCATAACCTTTATAGTTTATTTTTAAAATCACCGTTTTTCTCTGCCAGCTGCCATATTGTCAGGAAATCCCTTCGTATAATGTTTGACATTATTTTGAAGCTTATGCACTTCCTTTCAAAATATAGGACTGGAATATTCAGTAACATCACTCCAGACTAATAAAAAAATCAAATTTTCAAACCAGCACCCTCTTTAATAAAGCTAGCTTGTTGCCAGGTGAATAAATCTCCCAATTTCAACAAACGTATCATTTTGAAGCTTTTCAGATGGAAAATTTGAAAATAATGATTCGATATTGAAGAATTCCTTATTGAGACTCATTTTACCTGCACAGCTCACGTATAAAAGTGCTGAACAGAAAAAAATATATGATTTTGACAAAGAATCCGAGGCTAAACACAAGCACAGGGATGTGTTCGTTTCTCACCTCTTTCTTGTCTCTGTGACGATCAATATCTTTCTTAAGGGCCTCCATTCGCTTAAAGGACTCTTTGCTGTCTATGCTGTAAACAAGCACGAAGCCATCGGCAAAAGTGTAGTAATGTCGGGGAAACTCCATCCCGTCCCGGAGTCCACGGGTGTCGTAAAAGCGCACCTGCTCTCGTGTTCCACGGTCCGTCTCCACTGAGCCAACGTAAATATCTTCAAGGGTCTCCATAGGCTCCGAGTCTGATACAGGATATACAAACACAGGACCGTTACGTTTTAAAAGCTGCTAAAACAAGCAGCTGTGTACCGGTAGTTAGAATATTTAAAAGTGCAATTTTACATGTTGTTCGTTGAAATGAAAAAGCAGTAAGTTGAGTATTATATGATGTTGGTAAAACGTATAAAAAAATCACCCAAACGTAACATAGATGGGTCTTTAAACCTACAGTTTTACTAAAATTTAACAACTTGTGTGTTAACGTGTGTTAAAGGTGTTCAACATAATGGTACTTGCTCCAGTTATTTAACAGTCAACAATGGTGTACCACAAGGCTCAGTCTTAGGACCCACCCTCTTTACAATCTATATACATAATGTAGGTAAAAACATCCCTGATGCATCCATACATTTCTACGCTGATGACACAGTTGTTTATTGCCGAGCTAAAACTGTTGCTAAGGCTTTCCAGCTTTTGAACTCTGCATTCAACAACATCCAAACAGATTTGTTCCACCTCAAGCTTGTCCTAAATGCTGATAAAACCAAAGGGATGTTTTATTCAAATTGGAAGTCGGTCCCAGCAGTTCTTCCTCTGATCTCATCCTCAAACGGTGTCCCCATTGAGTTTGTTGATTCCTATAAATATTTGGGTATCTTGGTCGACTTACATCTCTCTTTTAAGCTCCACGTGGAAAACTTGGTAAAGAAACTGAAAGTTAAACTGGGTTTCTTTTTCAGAAACAGATCCTGTCTAACTCTGAACGCTAGGAAACACCTTGTATCTGTGACTTTCCTTCCCTCCATTGATTACAGTGACTTTATTTACATGAACGCTCCTACAAGAACCCTGCAGATGTTGGATGCTGCAGATGTTGGATGCTGCAGATGTTGGATGCTGTCTATCATGGTGCACTAAGATTCATAACTGGCTGTAACTACCGTACCCACCTCTGTACCCAGTATTCACTGGTTAACTGGTCACCATTAACTTCACACAGACTCTCCCACTGGTACATTTCCATCTTTAAATCACTTCTTGGTCTGCTGCCTTCATACATCTCCTCCTACATGTCTCTGAGTGAGTGCAGCTACAGCGTGCGCTCTCAGGACATTATTACCTGCAGTGTCCCCTCAGTGAGGACTGAACTAGACTAAAGGACCTTCTCCTGCTCCGCTCCTGTTTCCTGGAATATCTTGTAAAAACATCTGAAGCTCTCGACCTTTGACCTCTCTAAGTGGCTTTAAGAATCTGTTGGACTCCTGGCAGGGACCAATGCAGACATGTTCCTGTTTTTAGTTTTCTACATTCACCTTATAATCTAGCTGTTTTTGTTACTTTTTTTGCATCTTATTTGTAAAAAATAAAAAATAAAATTTGTATGACTTTTTATAATTGTTTATTGTTGCTGTTGTCCATTGTTGTCATCACTCTTTGTTCGAATCAGGTCTCTCTTGTAAATGAGTCCTCGAGGCTCAATGGGATTTACCTGTCTAAATAAAGGTTGAATGAAAACTTGAGTTGACTTTCTAAAATTTTTTTACTTTCTTCTTTAGCAGTCTCTTTTAACTAGGTCAGCGAGGCACCGGAGCTTGGAGACATACCTACAACATGATTGCCATACAGTAATTGTTCCACAACAGCCGTTTTACCAACTGCAGTCTGGCCACATATTACAGCTTTGCAGCTTTTCCCCATGATGACTTCTTTCCAGTCACAAAATCTGTTGATGGGAAAAGATGAATAGATTGAACAATGCTGAATTAGTTAACGTAAAGTACAAGTCAACATCTTGCAGCACTCCTTCAGAGTCGGAGGTTCACTCCCCTTGTGTGAAAATCTATGAGTTTAAAGTGTGTGTTCTTTCAGTTTTCTTTATTTACCACCACATTTCTAGAATAAACTTCTGGTACATTCAAATGTGTCAACAACATTTTGATATTATGCATTTTAATATGATAATATCAAATTGGTTTTCAGTAATTAGGTTGGGCAATTTGGATCTCCCTCTTGTTGGACAATCCACTCGTTTCTATACACACACACACACACACACGCACACAGGTTTGTTTTGCTATCTTTGTGGGGCCTTTGCATTGACTTCCATTCATTTTTCATTCATTTCTATAGCCTAACCATGACCTTTATCCATAACCTAACCATTACCAGTACATACCTAACCCTAAACCTAACACATCCTCAATTCACACCTTAGTCCTAAACCTAGCCCCTAACCCACCAACGGGACTTCTTCTTATGAGGCCCGGGCTTTGGGCCCCATAAGGAGCAGTTGGTCCTCACAATGTAGTATAAGTTGGAAAAATGGGCCTCACAAAGTAGCATAAACAAGGACACACACACACACAGACAGACAAGCCTGCTTCTCGTTTGTTCCCAAGATGTGTAATGTTGAGACAGGTAACATGATTAACTTAAGTGAAAAGATATAATAAATCAGAGCTCCACCAACATAAGACATGTTAGCATCAAGTCCATTATGAAGAAAGCTAGAACTGACGGTTGAATGATTTATTGAAGCCTTAATCTGCTGGCTTTACACATAAACACCGCCTAATGAAATGCAACGGATGCAACAAAACGTAAAACATTATAATATACAGAATTACCACAAAAGACACAAGACAGCTACAAAAAAAATCCCGCAAAACAACCTCACCTTCTGCTAGCCTAGCATTAGCTTTCTATGCGGGACCATTAAAAAAAATCCCCAAGTACGAAAATTTTACATAATCTAAACCAGACCAAAAACAATGAGGACATTTCGTCAGATATACGCAGATCTGATGTTTGCTTGTTAATGGTTTTTATTTTCTATAACGGTTTAAAACTTACTGAAAGACGGCGTTTCCTCTCCCAACGGGCTACTTCCTGTTTACAATCTACGTCACGACCGCAGTGCGAAGCCCCGCCCATCCTCATTGACGGTAAAATGGCGACAGAGAACTGTAATTCAGTGAACACGGAGCCTGACATGGAACTGCTCAGTGACGAGGAAATAGAAAGGTGTGCGAAATGAATGTTTTGTTGTCAGTGACTTAAATGAATGAGTAACGTGGCGTTCAGGTGATACGTGTAATCTAGTAGCCTTGACATGTGTTTTCTTGTCGTACTTTAAGCTAACTAGCGTGCTACCGCTAACTGTCAAGCTAAAATTTGATCCTGGTTGTGTTCTGCTAACACTTCCAGCCGGATATAGAGGACCTGTGCATTTGTTTTGACCTGCGAGGTGTAAAAGTAGATCGGTCTAGTACATTATCATAACCACATTTTCAGAGTGGTTGATTGACACTAGCGTGTCGTCATGATTGAAAGTATGAAAGCCATCCAAATAAAGTAATGGCATGGTGTCACATGTTCCTGGCTCTGCTCTCCCTGCCTGCTTCACAAAATAGCAACTGGTTTTCTTGGAACAGGCATTTCTGCTCTGCAGTATTCACTCCTATGTTTAGCTAAGTGTGGCCAAAAACTCACAACATGCTCTGATGCTGTTTTATGATGAAATGAAATGAGTCACCAAATGCTCATCCCATTTGGAAAATATTCCAGTAAATTAAATATTTCAGATGGCAAGATGTTTAACCCTGACACAACGAATAACTTCTTGTCTTATGTTCTTGTTCTGTTGTCAAAGATTTCAGAACAGCCAGCCTATAGTTCTAGAACTGCTCCGCTCCAGGTGGCTGCATGTTGGAGCAGCTCTACTTTCATTCTGAGATTTTGCTTTTGGAAACTTTAATTCCTCTTTTTCTGGATGTAAATCACATTTTTTTGGATGATTGTTTCCTCTGGTATCGGATGCTGTGCAGCTGGAAGGATTTTTACTGAAACTTTTTAAATTTTGGACATTTGCTATGATGCGTAACCATGGCAACAAGGCAGTTTTCTACAATCAACAGCAGATGATTAACATCTCAAAAGCTCAAATAATATCTCAACTACAGCCCCAAATCTCAAATGAGTTGAAAAGGATGCTCTGTGGACGCATTCTCGTCTACCTGCCAGCTGTGCTTGAGTGCCTGACCACTGAGATCCTGGAACTAGCAGGAAACACGGCTCATGACAGCAGAAGGACGGGATCGTCCCTCAGCACCTACAGTCGGCTGTCCGCAGCGACGAGGAGCTCGGCAGACTGTTGGGAGGAGTGGCCATCGCACTGGGAGGAGTTCTGCCCGGCATTCGGGCGCTCCTACAGCCGGGAGGAACCGAGAGGCCAGCTGAGTCTGGGTGGACGGATCCGACGGCATCTGCAGCCAGTTTCTTAGGATCCACTGTGGGATGGACCTTTACAAGAGATCCTTCCTGCCTACAGCATCAGCATCTATAACGTCTCTTATTGAAATGAGGATAACAAGTTACAACAACAAATAATTTCCCTCTGGGATTAATAAAGTATTTTTGAATTGAATTGAATTTGTCTACATCAAACAAGCAGCACGTTTGGAAAGATTGTTACGAAATACTTTCACTTTGAGAGGATACCAGAGAAAAGTTGTCCTTGGGTGAGAAATGTGAACACAAACGAATCCTCATGGGCTGTGATTCGAGAACACTTGTTTTATAAAATGAAACTGAAAATTAAAAAAACAACCAACCATAGATCTGACAGGAATGTTTTATAGTGAAATAAAGAACGTGCACAAAAATACGTAAATGAATTGTGATTAAATGTCATTTTCATTTAAAAAAAAAACTTTTAACAAAGTTGATTTTGATAAAATAAAAGGTTTATTTTGTTGGAGAGCATAATGATTGGGTGCTTGATGAATAAAAATGATTGTGTGGTCTGATGAGAGCGAGGGGCGCATCTGGGTTAGACGAGGTTTTGCTTGATTGATTTGCCAGTTATTCCAACCATACACGCCCGTGGGAACATATTCTCAACAAGCTATAACAAATGCAACTTTGGACGGAAAAAAAAAGTTGAGCCACCGTTTAAATTAACCCCAAAAATTGTCACTAGGCCTGCACAATATAGTAAACATTTAGTATTGCAATATCAACATTTGCACAATAGCAATATTCCAAATAATCACAGAACCAAACTGCATGCAAAAAATATGAGTTTGGCCTAAAACTGACTCCCAGGCCAGTTGCAGGACTAATGCCTCCAACTGGCTCATTGAGAGTGGTGTATACATCGAAAGGACAGAACATGTTGGTTTACTGCAACTGATATCTCAGTGTTCTAGTTCTCCTAATATCGTTCGGCTCTAATTGTCACAATAATTAAAGCAGAAGTCGACTTTTACAGTATCTTCGTTTGAGGGACTTATTTGGCCACACAGTGATGTTCAAGTAATGTAATACTTCCTCCAAATCTTGCCTACCTCTATTCTGAATTTCTAATTGTTGCCAGATTTGCCTGATTTTTGTTTTTCTGCTCGCTGTAAACAGGGAAGCTGAGGGCTTCAAAGAACAAGGCAATGCTTTTTATATCCAGAAGGATTACACCGAGGCATTCACTTATTACACCAAGGCTATTGGTAAGTAATTGTTTTAGTATTCTTAGATTTATTTCTTCATTTGTTAGTATGCTTTTTCTTGTTGTTTAGGATGAAAAAAAATAAGTTGTTTTTTTTATTTAATTTCAGATATGTGTCCGAAAACTGCAAGTTACTATGGAAACCGAGCAGCCACACTAATGATGTTGTGCCGGTACCGAGAGGCTTTAGAAGACTCTCAGCAAGCAGTACGACTAGACAACACCTTCATGAAGGTGACTTGAGCAAAACAAGCCGTTAAAATATGTTGAAAGTGAAAACTGCTCTTTTGTTGTCTGTAAATGTATAAATACTTATTTGCTTCACAAAAATTTAAATGAGAACTTTCTTACACAGTTTATTTAACTGTGAAGCTGGTAAGTTTATCCACTTGGCATTATCACATCAAGTTTCTCTGCACTTCAGTTTCAGCACATTGTTGTTTTATATAAAAGCGAAAAGCTACAGTGTTTGTTTTTTTTTAGTCTTTTTGTGGGTTAATGTGTCCGTCTTGATGAATCTGTAGACCAATTTTAGTGGAGCACTGTGATTATTGAATATATGTCTACAACTGTTGAACCTTTGCAGTCAAGATGGCTACTACAACTTACTAAGCAAACCCACAAATGTATCGGTTTTGCCAGTTTTACAGATATTAAGTGACTTGTTGTGTCACTAGCTGGGAGGCGTTCTTAACAAGTACTCCAGTTTGACCAAAATGGCTCCGTCTCTGTCATGTCTCCGTCTAAAACTGGCATAAAAGGTGGCATGTGACGTGCATTCCTAACCGTTTGTTTTGCTCACAGGGTCATCTGCGAGAGGGTAAGTGCCACCTCTCTCTCGGCAATGCAATGGCTGCTCGGCGCTGTTTCCAAAAAGTTCTGGAACTGGAGCCGGATAACACTCAGGCCCAGCAGGAGGTGCGTTGGCATCAGTTTTTGGAGACGTGACAATTTTGACGTGATTATTTGTTATTTATAGTGGGAAGCTTTGATCAAACCGCTCCACGTACAGAACAGAACTTTCCTGCGGAGAAGCTTTTCAAGCAGAGCTCAATGAAGAGCTGTGAAACGAGTTTCAGGTTATTACCAGGGGTGCTGCCTTTGTTGGACTCGTTTTACAAACACCGAGGATGACTCAGACTAAAACTTTGTCTCGCAATTGTAAAAACTTCCACTTTGTCACCTGAAATACCTTTTTCAGGTAAAGAATGCAGAATCCATTCTTGAATATGAGAAAATGGCAGAGATTGGCTTTGAGAAGAGAGACTTCAGAATGGTGAGCTACTCACGTTTTCTTTATTTTTTTTTTGTGGTAGATTTTTGTACAAGTGCAGGAGAAACGAGCTGTAAATGCTGCGATTCTTTTCAGGTGGTGTTTTGCATGGATCGTGCCTTGGAGTGTGCATCGGCTTGTCACAAGTTTAAGATACTGAAGGCGGAGTGTTTGGCCCTGCTGGGACGATACCCAGAGGCTCAGTCTGTTGCTAGGTACGGACTTTTATTAAGTTCATTCACTTATTATGGAATTTCATAAAAGATGAAAATTAAATTAAGGGACCAAAAAATGATAAGTGTAGTTTATAAAATATGAAGCCGGATTGTTTTTTTTGTTTTTACTTGCAGTGTTATGCTCCTCACCGAAGACTTTGGCAATCTATACATGTTTTAAAAACAAATAATTTAAATGAGTTTAACATGTCAGTGAAAGTGGTTATCAGGCAGACAAAACATTCAACATTTGAAACGTCAATTACAATTTATTACATTGTTTTTTTCTCATTCTTTGTATTGATATTTATTGCTCGCCTCCAAACTGCAGTATTCTGCAAAATATCTGAACCGCTGGATCAGTCGCTATTAAACTTTCAACATATTCATTGGATGTACATCTGCAAATCATTAACTTCTGGAGTGCAAACACACAAATGTCTAATCCTCAGTTTTACATATGTAGAGCTATATTTTGGTGTGGTCATAACATCATTTACAAGGTTTTACATAAATATATATAGCTTCATCCTTTATTCGCATTAGATGATCTTAGTTTAAAACTTTAGCATGAAGGCGGTGGGCAACTTGCTAACTTTTATGTCTATTAAAAACATTTTTTCACATCTTAACTGTATCCTTGATGTATTCTGTCACGTAAAATCATAAAATTCTTAGTTTTTTTTTTTATTATAGCTTGAATTTTTTTATGTTAAACGTAACGACAGCAGATAAAATGTATGTACTTTTGCTCCTGCTGTCCTGCCGTTTCAGTGATATTCTCCGAATGGACTCCACTAACGCAGATGCTCTGTATGTGCGTGGTCTCTGTCTGTACTACGAGGACTGCATCGATAAGGCGGTCCAGTTCTTCGTGCAGGCCCTGCGCATGGCTCCCGACCACGACAAGGCTCGGCTTGCGTGTAGGGTAAGTAATTAACCTTACACGTGGGATTTTTAAAAATCATTTAGGGTTTGTTTGGAGTTCGTTGAAAGAAACGGGTAATAACCTTTCTTCCATTCCGGATATGTTTGTTGCTGTGATGTCTCTGGATGGATTTAAGGCAGTTGTCGTTTTACTTTTTTTTTTTTTTCTAAGAATGCTAAAGCACTAAAAGCAAAGAAGGAGGAAGGGAACAAGGCGTTCAAGGAGGGAAATTTCGAAGCAGCTTATGAGCTGTACTCTGAGGCACTAACAATAGACCCCAACAACATCAAGACCAATGCCAAGCTGTACTGTAACAGAGCCACTGTTGGATCTAAGGTAAACAGCATCTGCACAGTTCTATTAATTTCGTTGGACGTGAAATTAATCAGTGTATCCTCGACTCTAAATCTTGTTGCACAAACCTGATGGATGGATTATTGAGCATGCATCAAGACAAACCTGATGGTTATATTTTAAGATTTGCATAATGTACTGAAATGTTTAAATAAGTTGGCCACGTGTCCTTTCTTCTTTCGCATCATTAGAATTCTGCTTTGGACACTAAACTCACTAATACCTTTGTATTTTTTCCTTGGAAGCTGAAGAAACTAGAGCAGGCCATTGAAGACTGCTCAAAGGCCATTAAACTGGACGAGACCTACATCAAGGCCTATTTAAGGAGAGCACAGTGGTATGTCAAGGATTTCTAACTTGCGTGTTATTTCAGACACAAAAACACTTTCATTTGGTTTTCTAACGTTAACTGACACTTGACACGGTCATCATGTTGTAAACTTTTGGATTTTGTTGAGGCAGGTGAATAAACGAGATGTTTTCTTCCAGCTACATGGACACAGAGCAGTACGAAGAGGCAGTGAGGGACTATGAAAAGGTCTACCAAACAGAAAAGACAAAAGGTGAGGACCTGAAAGCTGAATGTATCTGATGTAGCCGAAAGCACTGATATCACAGAAACTTTGGCCTGTTGAATTGCACAGCTATGAAAAATATTTTGCATTGAATCTGTTGAAGTAACACCAAAAATATGTGTTGATCGCCAAACTTTGAGCAACAAATCATTGGATGCACCGCTACAACTGATTTTTAGACTTTTGAAGTCAACTTGATTCAACATGGCTGCCGCAGCTACCGTATTTTCCGGCCTATAAGTCGCAGTTTTTTTCCCATATTTATAAACCAATTTTTGGCTGAGGTACAGTGTATGACCGTTTTCATTCATTCTGACATTGAAAATGTTGAACACTGCCATTTTCAGCCGCTAGATGGTATTCGAGTGGTATGGCATGCCGTTACATTATGTAATAGGTAAAAGTGGCTATTAATGACACAATCAGCTTGCCATAGTCTGCCACCTTCGTCCAGCCCCAGGATCATGCCTGAAGCAACTGAAATCGACTTCATTTTTCTGCGCCGCCCCGGCAAAATGCAGCTAATTTGACCATTGAAGTGCATTTATTAAGTCAAAGTTCAACTGAGACACACCTTTACTATAATGTCGAGCAAACAAATCATTGTTTTTAAGTGTTCATCTTGTTAAAGTCCTCCCATGCACGCTCCCGCGGCCTCCATTTGGCAGCCAATCGATTTTTGGCACAACACCGGCCCACATTTTCAGGTTGTCAGAGGTGACGCGTAATAGATGCGAATTATACGGTGAAGCGACGTATTTATGTTTTATTTATATTTGGACTGATGCGACTTATACGGCGGAAAATACGGGAATCAACTTTAGCCACACAAAACATCTGTAACTCAACAAATCTTTGGCTAAAATGATGTGCAGTGGTAGTTGAGCTTTGTGTTCAATTTGTTTAAAGCATTGACTTGACCTGGTCTGTTGGCAAAGCAACGTATGAACCACTGAACAGACTGGGTTCATGTGAACCTGCTGGTTTATTTTTCATCCCGTAGAACACAAACACCTCCTCAAAACGGCTCAGCTGGAGTTGAAGAAAAGCAAGAGGAAAGATTACTACAAAGTGCTCGGTGTGGAGAAGAACGCCACAGAAGACGAGATCAAGAAAGCGTACCGCAAACGTGCTCTTTTACATCACCCAGGTGCTTTCGCTTACCATAAACCCACCGTGATTCGTAGCATAGAAAAGCACAGAATAAACAGGTATAACTTTTATTTTTGTCTATTTTTTTATTATTTTATTTTGCAGACCGTCACAGTGGCGCTAGCTCTGAGGTGCAAAAGGAAGAGGAGAAAAAGTTTAAAGAGGTGGGCGAGGCTTTCAGCGTGCTTTCAGACCCAAAGAAAAAGGCTCGCTATGACAGCGGGCAGGACCTCGAGGACGATGGCGCGAACATGGGAGGTCAGCACCTGGGCGTACCTCGGGGGGGGAGGTCTTGGGGGTGAACACGTTTAAAGTTTCGCAGTGAAGTGGGGAGACGGTTCATTCTAACTGAAACGTCGTTTGTGTTTTCACCACCAGATTTTGACGCTAATAACATTTTCAAGGCGTTCTTCGGAGGACCAGGAGGATTCAGCTTTGAAGGTAATTCATGTTTTGTTGGAAAACAAAGGCTGTGCATTTAATCCACTTTGTTGCTTCGACTTGATTTTTGCTCCAATTTATCACAGAAACAGCATAATGGACAAAAAAAAAACATTATTAAAGCTCTTTTTATTTATTGGCCGTTATCGGTGTGAGCCCGTTCTTTCCAGTGGGAGGGGGTCAGACACGTAAAACCCCGCTGGGCTCAGAAGTAACATTTATCCACAAGAACAGTGTTTATAACGAAGCAATCTGTGTCTAAAGGATGTGTGTGATTTGAGAGAACAACTTTTCCAGATGTTTTGGTGGTGCGTAAATGACTTGGACCTCACAGGAAAATCTGTGAGGACTCGAACCCTCAGATCAGACAGAAAATACGTTGTGACTTCATGAAAACACACCAGGAGAAGCAAAACGTGACTTTATTGCAATTTTTTGTGTGTGTGTGTGGGGGGGGGGGGTGTAAGTTGATCTTAAATACGTTACTTGTTACTTAAAGGTTTTAAAAAGTGTCAGGGCGGGAGAGGTTAAAGTTCTCGTCACCGTGACGATTTCTGTCATCTGTAAAATGAGGAACGAACGTGTGGTGTCTCGTTAAAGCCGTCCAATCTGACCACGATTAAACGGACGCTAAAGAGAACCACAGTCACAGTTTTACCCAATCAGGGCGGGGCGGGGCGGGGCCTGCTGTCTGATTCACGGTGAGCTCAGGTGTGAGCAGCAGAGAGAAGCCAAGGAGGACACCTGCTACCTGACCACAAGCGCCCGCCCCGTCATAAGGTGATGACGTCAAGTTATTAAACGTCTGCGCACGTGACCAATCACAGCAGCCGGGGGGAGATAACAGGACTGATGCACCGTTACCCCCTCCTCCCGCACTGCGCCCCCGACCTCCCTGGGTGTCCGAGAGAGAGGCAGAGTGCCCCGCTGTGGAACCGTGCACCTGCGTGTCTTTCACGTTGAGACAGTCTACTGCTTTTTAGTTCTTATAATTAAACATTAACACTAAAAGATAAATATGTGACGAACATGTGTGTCTCCGTTTAACTTGTTTTTTCTCAAACTTACAAAGTTCTCTCTGTGAGAAGTGTTTATAGTTTATCATAAATATCTGATAAACTTGCTTTTATTTAGAATTACAGTAGTCCCTCACTACTTTGCGTTTTTTCAAAATAAGATTGGACATGACACACAACTGGCTGATTGATGGATGTTCCGCAGATCGACATGGAAATTTTATTTAAATGCTGCACATTTAGTAACCCAGAGCAGCAGAAAAAGTTTCCTCCTGCACCTCTGTGCATCCCATATTGCAGGATAAACTTCCTGCTGCAGCTGATCAGCTGTTCTCCCTGCAGAGTGGAGAAGTGGGCGTGGCCAAGAGCGCCTGCAGATGGCAAAGAGCAGAGGAGGCAGGGAGCTGAAATCATGACATTCTGCTTTTTTAGCGCGTTTAGAGTTTAGAAACGTTGTTTAGAATATTGCAAGAGTGCGGGAATGGTTTAAGATGCCTTTATATATATATTTATATATAACATAACAATAATGTATATAATAATTTATATATAAATATAATAAAAAAATAAACTGCTGCTTGATACTTGTACTAATCAACAAAGTCCATGCTCAATAATCCAGGTATACAATCCAACAATTTTCAGTCAGGTCATCTGGACGTTTTTTTTTTTTTTGTGCTGAAACGTTTCAACTTCCATCCAGAAGGCTTCATCAGTCAAGGAAACACAAAACTGATTCTCCCCCCCCCACAGCTTTTTTCACTTTGTAAGCTGTTAGACGACTGCTCTAACCACTCGGCCACAGTCATAAGAGAAGGCATATAAATTGAAAAAATAAATAAATAAAGGGAAGAAAATTATGTAAAAAAAACTAAAAACAGGAACATGTCTGCGTTGGTTCTTACCAGGAACTGAACAGATGTTTAAAGACACTTAGAGAGGTCAAAGGTCGAGAGCTTCAGATCTTTTTGCAAGATATTCCAGGAAACAGGAGCGGAGTAGGAGAAGGTCCTTTAGTCTAGTTCAGTCCTCACTGAGGGAATACTGCAGGTAATGATGTCCTGAGAGCGCACGCTGTAGCTGCACTCACGCAGAGACATGTAGGAGGAGATGTATGAAGGCAGCAGACCAAGAAGTGATTTAAAGATGAAGATGTACCAGTGGGAGAGTCTGTGTGAAGTTAATGGTGACCAGTTAACCAGTGAATACTGGGTGCAGTGGTGGGTATGGTAGTTACAGCCAGTTATGATGATAGACAGCAGTGCTTGTAGGGGCGTTCATGTAAATAATGTCACCGTAGTCGATGGAGGGAAGGAAAGTAGCAGTTACAAGGTGTTTTCTAGCATTCAGAGTTAGACGGGATCGATTTCTGAAATAGAAACCCAGTTTAACTTTCAGTTTCTTTACCAAGTTTTCAACGTGGGGTTTGAAAGAGAGATGTGCATCAACCAAGATACCCAAGTATTTGTAGGAATCGACAAACTCAGTAGGAACGTCATTCAAAGATGAAATCGAGGGAAGAAGTGCTGGGTCCGACTTCCTGTTTGAAAACAACATCCTGTTGGTTTTATCTGCGTTTACCAGTTTGAGACGGAACAAATCTGACTGGATGATGTCGAAAGCAGACCGACTGCAAAAGCTACTCTGTACCCAGATAATGAACCGTGCATTTCAGATTATATTTATTTTCAGTAGTTTGAATAAATATTTTCAGTTATTTTAAGACCGTTCAATAGGATTGTGTCAAAGAAAAATTAAGTCCATTCACTTTCTTGAAGTGCACAAACTGCTACGTTTCCAAACTTTCACTCTCAATAATCGTGATTTTTTTTTAATGTTGCTGTAATTGAGCAGCTCTTCTCTAAGCTCTTGGAAATAAGTGTGTTTTCAACAGTAATTTTAAACTGCTGTCCCTAATTGTTTGATTTTTGTTGTGTTTCAGCATCTGGACCAGGGAATTTCTTTTTCCAGTTCGGCTAATTGGAGGAGCCGCCTACATAAACCATTACTACATCAGGATTTTGCTACAATGTCGACCCCTCAACCCATCATTTGTATTTATTGACTGACTGCAAGTCAGAATCTTGTCTATGCCGTTGACTGAATGAATGCAAACCAATGACCACACGCAGCAAATTATTTAACGGCCTTTAAAGCAAGGATATCAAGATGGCTCAGACTGAGAAGCGTTACTGGTTTTATCACTTAGTTCACATCCTTGCGCGACGAAACAAACTTGAAAATCAGTAATGGCTAGCAGCACTGGTCCAAAAAGTCTCTGAGTTTTTGATAAAGGAGAAAACGTGTGCAGCTGAGCTTCTTGGGATCCGTGCAGGAAGTGTCATTCTGGGGAAACTCGAGACGCAACGAGCAAGCTATTAATCCAGCTCATCTCAACTTCCTGCGTAGGGAGTTCTCTGTATGAAAGTTGGTAACTTGATCAGTGGTTTCTGATGAAAATCACTGAGCAAGCAGCACCTCCCCTTTATAAACAATCTGTCAGATCGACAGAGAGCTGCTACAAATTCGCACTGAAAGCTGCCTCTTCGTCATAGCCTATGGGAGCACTCCTTTTTTTTTTTGTTTTGTTTTTTACAAGTAAGAGCTGGAGCCTTAGACCTTCACATTCTGCACGGTCAAAGCACACTAGAAAGACGGCAGTGGAGACAAGTGCCGGCTTTGTCGTCCCTTTTTGTCGTCACCGGTTTTACGTCGTTGCCATTCACAGCTTGCTGCATTGTACATTTTACTGGAATGTAAAGTGTTGATTTGTGATGTCGGATTTTATTTTTTCCATTTTTTTTAATTTGCATATGTATATTTATTGTAAGTTTGCTGTCTTGTACACGTTTGACAAGGCAAAACTCAATGAGCCTTTCTGACTAAAACACAATACAAAAAGATAACAGGTTTGCATGAAATGTGCTAAAAGGTGGGTTATGCTGCTTGTGTTACCAGACCGTTTAGTTTTACTCGATACAAGAGAGAGGCATGAGAGCAGGAGTAATGTTATAAATGTGGTCTGTGTTGGTTTTTCACAGCCAGGCTGGGCTCTGTGGACTTTGAAACGTGGCAAATTTCACTTACTTCCTGGTAAAGAACTGTGCTCGTCTTTGCCCTCAGCTTTTCTCCTCTGGAAGCCGTCTCATTGAAATACCAGCTGTGTCAATAAAGTTGGCCGCCTCTGGGTTTCCCTAACATTGTTTAATTTTATATCCAATTTTATTATTATAGCAGTATGTTTGTGACATTAGCAAAGTATCTCATGAAGCGCTGGACTGATTTTAATGAAACTCAAAAGTAATCTTTGGGTGTACATGTACAACCAATTACCGGTACCTTTAGGTGTCAACCTGATTTGAGATGGCCTTCTGACTTAACCGATAGCAAAAATGGCTATAACTTGGATTTATTTTACAGATGTGCTAAAATTTGGTGGAATAGTAGCTGGGAATAAATTGCAAGGTACTCCCAAGTTCTGCTCATTACACAATATGTTTGCTTAAAATTTTACCATTAACTCTTGGACTCAACCCAGCTCATCTGTTAGCAAAATATCTCATGAACCACTGCGTTGATTTAAATGACACCTTTCTGAAGTGATCAATGCATGGTAATATAACTGATTCTTGAGTAATCATACTCGAGATGACCACATATTAGCAACACGTTCTGTGAATGGGACACTGACATCTCGCGAGAAAACACGAGATCACGCAGTTCGGTCTACCGCCACCAGAGGCCGCCATTTCCCCACTTTTTGTGTGTGTGGTTGCTAGGATACCAGTGAACGGAAGCTTTGCGCACATGCAGTAAATTTCTTTCTGAAGCTCGTTTTGAAACGCGAATTAAAAGCAAAAATGTCAGACCCAAATAAAGACGGCGCTGGTCAAAGCTCCAAAATGTCATTCTCCACTTTGCTTGCGGACGGGGAGTGGAAGTTCGTCAAAGAAGATTACGAAAACGCGATAAAAAGCTTCACGGCGGTGAGTATTTTGTTTAGGGGGTAGCCTAGTTAGCTTCACACACTCACACAAAAACAAAATGTAAATGACCTACATCTTTGTTTAGGCGCTTGCTTTAAGTCCTGACGAGAAGAACTGCCTCGTTTCTCGAGCCAAATGTTACATGAAGTTGGGACAGCTTGGAAATGCTTTAAAAGATGCTGAAACTTCTCTTAAAGATGACGAGACCTTTTGTGAGGTATCTGCAGCTGCTTCCACTGACTGAGCTGATGGAGCCGTCAGTAAAACTCTTGACCTTTTCCAGGGGCTGTACCTGAAGGCAGAGGCTTTGTTCCTCATGGGGGAGTTTGAATTCGCCTTGGTGTTTTACAGCAGAGGATTCAACATCCGTCCACGCAGGTTCAGGCTCGGTTTGCAGAAATCACAGGAGGCGATCGAGAACTCCATCGGCTGTAAGTAAAGTGTCATCAGGCCACAGGCCTCAAGCTGCACAGTTTGATCCTGTCATCAGGCCACAAGTCTCAAGCTGCACAGTTTGATCCTGTCTCCAACAGGTCCTTCCACTGTGGAGCTGGAGATTAAAGGAGACCTTTCATTTCTCCAAAAAGAAGAAGAGGCAAGTCCACTTCTCTTTTACTAACTGTTTCCAATATGCACTCAATCAGGGCAGGATTTAAAAAAGTGTGGGCCCTTGGGAGGCCCTATTTACAGACTACAATGTAACATTATAGGTGTGTTAACACCAAGATTTTTAGTTGCACAGAGTTTTTAACGTACCGGTACTCCCACAGTCCAGTCTTGAAAATCTGTGACAACTTTCCCCTGAAAATAGTCACAAAGTCATTGTGGGCGACTTGTCTGCCCCTCTCTCCTGAATCTAGTGTTTCAAGTGTTTTGACCGACCTGATGGATGGCTCAAAAATCAGCACATAATTTGACTCTGTGGGATTTTAAAATTAAATCTGGGAAGGAACCCTGGTGATTTGAAAAAAGGCTTTCGCTGCTTGTTTATTTCTTTTTTGTCCATTTTCCAGTGTTGCCACGACGCTACTTGGGTCTCCACGATCTCTGTGGTTTTCCAAATAACGTGTGTGTGGCCTCAGTTTGGTCAGGATCGTCAAACTGCTGTTGCCTGAAATTTATATCCAAAGCAAACCCAACACAGTAACAGGCAAATAAGTGAAATGAGGTCATAAAACTTCTACCATCGTCTGTCACCGTTTCCAAAAAGGCCATGGCTAAGTTGAAAACCTTCTCTTCACAAACTGAAGTTTGACTGATTCTTGTAGCACCTTGTCAAGTTGCCAGTTGTCCCTGCTACTAAAAACAACGTTTCACTTGATGCAGAATATATCCTACTCTCTCTTCAGTGTTGTCACGTCGCCTGCCTGCAAATATTTGACTAATAAAGTTCACCTCTTACATTTTTTTCTTTTCTAATGAATTTTCTTACAAATGAATTGGACTTTAAAGCATTTAGTAATCAGTTTAACCAGTTATGTCCTCTTATGTTTCTGAATTTCTAACGTGTAAAGAGAGTACATCCGATCACCGTTGTTCAGGATCAGATGAACGAGAAAAGACGTGACGCCCCAAAGACCTACAAGAATGAGAAGACCACCAAACAGCTTCTGGGAAAGTTTTACAGCGACAAGAAATTTCTAGAAGACCTGATGAAAGATGAAGGTGCAGCATTCTCATATTATCTGCGTTTGTTCACACATCTTTTATTTGGTCTTCGTCAGTACACCGTGGTTTTGCCCAAACAGCATTTTTCTCTGTCGTTCTTCTTCACCTTATTCATTTTTGCTCTGTGGCGAGACTATTTTAACTGTTTTTATGCTGTGAAGACTTGGCTAAAGGTGTGACAACGCGTGGGGAACGAGTGCAGGACATCATCGAGGGCTGCATCACGTCGTTTGAGAAACACACTGAGCTCTGGAGTCAGGAGAAACCAGTTTCCCTTCGAAAACAGAAACCTTCAGCGAGTTCAGCAGAAATGTGTACGTCTTCTGAACCGGCTCAATTTATGCTGAAAAGCCTCGATGATACAGAAGCAGGTAGGATGAGCTCCCGGCCAAACATGAAACTTACTGCCTTTTTTGTTGTCGTCGTTAAAAAATAAAGCGTTTTGTTTTTAGCCACAGAGAGGACGTCAGCCGATGAGGAAAACCTTCTGGAGAAAGCAGAACAAACATAGTTTTCATTGATTTGTGTTGATCCTGCCCTGAAATTTATTTATGTCTTGATTTTAAACTGTTATTTTTGACAAAAGTTACATTTGTACTGTGAATATTTTCGGTGTGGTCTGAATCTTTTTTGAGTCTGCTTTTTGTTCAATACATAAATAAAACAACGATTGCCAAATATTTGTACTTTAAATAGAAACGGGGAAATTCTGACGCACACTTCTATATTAAACGTGATTTGCAGTAAAAGCTGACTTTTCTCTGCTAACCTACCTATAGTACTTGTTGGAGCGTAATATAACAGGAGATTTCCTTTGTGCTGACTCGTAATGTGACACCGATAGTTTCATTTATACCGATGACTGCTTCTTGGAAATGTCCTAAAAATATTTGTGCAATAAATAGACAAAGACATTTTTACTACTTATGGTCAAACAGTTTTTTTGATCTGTTTAACTGGGGAAGTCTTGATATTACAGTAATAAACTGCCTTGTGTTTATGCAAATGAGACTGACTTTTAGGGATACGACTGACATGTTTGGCACGTGACTAAGTTTGCATATACGATAAGGGACTTTTGTCCATATTTTTAAATAATGGCATGTAAATATTTATCACCCCAGTGCAAAATTAGCTCAAACTGTCCACACAAACGCAAGAAAATGTCTACAAATGAAAAACACAAAGAATGTATAACAGCTGTAGTATGTGGAATAATACACTTGTGTGTAATGGTCCAGATAAAAAAAAAAATGCTTGTACAATAACACCTTAAGGTACATAAAAATTCACGTTTGTTTTTCTTGTACATGGAAACATAGATGTGGACTTCTTGTCCATGATTTCCTCTTTGATTAACTGAACTTGTAGGAGTAAATTTTCTGTAAGAAATTTCAATTCCATTCAACTTCCTGCCGTTCGTTGCTTGATCACCCCCAAAAAGAGGCTAAAATGATGGTTCAGGATGACAAGTACCTTGGGATCCCACATGTCGTTGACAAATATAACAAGGCCACAGGTAAGTCATCCACAACCAAGTACCTATAAGTAAATCAGGTCCTGAAGAGCCTGATGAATGGTCAGAACAGAGTCCAAGTCATCAACCCCTGCAGTCATCAGATACCATGCGATCGCTTGGCACAAGGACGAGCTAATTATGACAAGAAAGCTCACGTCACACCACAGCGGAATGTAACGATTCAAGGTTCTTTGTCATTCACATCACATGTGGTACATGAGGTGGAACGAAATTGTGTTCACAGGGTTGAAGCTGTGGAAACTGGAGGTCTCGGTGTTGCCAGTGGCCGCTGGGGCACTATAGGGACTGTGAACCCCCAAACTGGGAGAGTAGCTCCCACAGATCTTAGCAAAAATCTAAGAGATTAATGTCCAGAAGAAGGAAGACCTAGGAACAGCTACTGCAGAACTCTGAAGCACCAAAGACCTGAGTTTGAAGTGATGGAACCAAACATGTGGGAAAAGACTCCCTCTGAGATCAATAAAGTATCTATCTATCTATCTATCTATCTATCTATATATATA